TGTTTCTCAAGGGCTCTCTAATCAACACAATTCTAGTTGTTTCCTATTAGACTGCAGGATTTGCAAAAAATTACTCCTCAGTCTTTCTCTCTCTTTTCAAGGTCCCTGAGAAGCAACTTGTTATGAAATGGAGATTTAAATCTTGGCCAGCTGGTAAGTAGTCCAAAAATGGACTATGGTATTACAGCCCTTGCCTATGTTTGAAGAATTCCAGCCCCATTTGCCACACTGCACTCTGGCTCGTGATCGGGGAGCACATGGTTTTCTGGGAGCTGCACCAGCCTTATCCCAGCTTCATATCCCACACGATCAGGTCAGAATCATCAGCCACCGCTTAGAGCAGCAGCCAGGGATTAGGAAGGATGAAGTAGCAGCTTGCTCAGCTGTGGCTGCAACTGCATCGAACCCCATGAAGAGGGAGCCCTCTCCTCCCTCTGTTTCTGAGGAAGGCCTGCAGCTGTCATAAATAGATCCTTTGGGAAGGAGCCTGAGGAGTCTTTTGAGTGGTGCTGTGTGAGAGGAGGAGCAGAGCAGCTCCTTGAGGCAGCATATACTACACTGCACACTGCTGACAGATTTGCTTTGGTTCCTCTAGGGCACTTTGCAACAATTACCTTGAACTTCACTGACAAAGGTGGCGAGACGGAGGGGCGCTTGGAAGGCAAGGGCATTTGCCAGTGAGGAGGAAAGAACAAAGCAAGGCTGGCAGCGCTACTACTTCGAGGGCATTAAACAGACATTTGGCTATGGTGCCCGCTTGTTTTAATACTGGTTGCTGGGAAGGCTGTGCCTGAAGACTCTGCCACGTGGACTGATAAATTTCTCACCTGTCCCTTTGTAATCTTGGCCCTGCTGCCGAGTAAAGTGGGATGACAGGTGATAAGGAAGGCCATTGAGCAGCACCACTTTCAGTCCTCACTGCTTTGTGCATGTCTCGTGCTGCAGGGGATTCTCTTACATGTACATACTTCTATTGCTAAATAAACCTAACTTAAAAAAAACACTGTGGAACTTGTGTCCTCAGATCGGCTTCAGTTCAAAGGGTCAGTAGATAGGCTGAGGGAGGGACCTGTCTGGAAAAACCGATCAATGAGGAGTGCTGATCCCAATGTGATTTACTCCTCGCTTCTGGGGGAGTAGAGAGCATGAGCTTGATGCAGTTTTTAGTTTGAGCAGCTGCTCACTTTCTCTGCTTTTGATCTGCCGCTAGTAAATGTTTCAAACTCTTCCCATTTCTGAAGAGATGTAAGCTCCTGTTTGAGCTATTCCTCTCCTGCCTTGCACGTGCCCTTCAACATAATCCTTTCTTACGCTTACACTAGCCTGCTCTACAAGAATGCCGATCGTTTAGTCACCCGATGCCCAAGACAACCGGCAAACCGCTGCTAGGGAAACTCCCACCTACAAAACGGTTCTAGCAGGTTGTGGGGCCCAGGGTCAGCTACCTCCAAGAGCTTCAGGCCAAAGCAAACTGTAGACTCTCAAGGGGGGTGGGATTTATTTCTGTAAAATAAACAAGGTGCGGTACTTTTGGCTGACCTCACTTCAGCTGTTGCTTCGACTGGTGAGGAAGGGCAAACCACTTGCTTGTTCTCTCCTGCTAATACAGTTAGTTCCCAGCGATGTCTTCTAAAGTAATAAACTTGTTTATAGGATAGGGGGGAAGTCTAGTTCTGGTCAGAAGTGTCTATCTGCTTAACCTCAAGGGTGACTGAAGTGCTCGGTTTTCCCTTTGAGGCATGAGCTTCTCCTGCATACTTCTGGTTTCTGCTAGTGTTTTCTGCAGAGCACCTCTAGTAAACCAGAAGTAAGTAATGTTACTGGGTGAGAATTACTGTTTCAGGGATTTTTTTTATTTTTTTTTTTTTAAATCTGAATGGCATGTTGTAGCCATCCCCTTCAGTAGAGGAGACGATAGGAAAAAAACCCTAGTGCCTGTTTAAAAAAACCCAAGTGTAATTGATAGAGCTGCCTTTTAAACTATGGAGAACATTTCTAGCCTTTTCCGCTCGTTATTCCAAAGTGATTATTCATGGTAAAGTGTGTATGGACATCAAGACTGCGGCATGAAGCTAAGGTCTATATCGTGTGCTTATCCCTGTGCGGACCTGTGACTGCAAAGGAAGCGGTATGAAGACCGGGCACCTGTAGATGTGGTAGGGCTTCCCTGTGTCCTGCAGGGTTGTCTTCCTTAAAGAGCTGTCTGGCTGGGAAAGGGGCCGCAGGTATTTTGCCAGGATTCTTATGCACAGATGAACTACTGTACGCAGCTGGTAGGCTGCAGGAGTGTGACATGATGTGAGCACACTGATGTCGCTGTGCAGCGTGCATGTTTGGTTTTCTGTTTGGGAAATCCTGGACAGAAACATGGGAAACCTTAAACAGCAGGGCTAGCACGTGTGTTCACAGCCAAGGCAAGAGCTTTGGTAAGAGAAGAGTAAAATGATTTGAAAACTGAAAAAATGAGCTCATTCTAAGTTAACTTGAGACAAATTTGACAGCTGAATCACAGTGTCCTTGCTGTGCTTCGGCAAGCCGTGCCACCGGCTGGCCATGCTGCGGCAGCAGTGCTCGCCTGCAGCGGGGTGCCGCTGGCACAGCTGAGCGAGGGCAGCAGAAGGCAGGCCCTGCTAATCACCTGCCGCTGGAAGGTTAGGAAGTGGGACAGGAAGGCAGCTGAAGTGGAATTTTAATTGCCTTCCTTTCATCACAAACAGGGTTTACTTCGGGCATCCTGCTGCTACTCTAATAGAACACGCTTTGGCCTCAGCCAGCAGCGCACATTCATGGGGCTCACGGGCTCAGGGCTTTGCTCGGAGGCCATTTGAGGGCTCTTCTTCCAGCAAAACTGACTGCCCTGAGTTATGCTGGTGCTGCCCCAGCTGGCTCCCTGCCCCGCGGGCTGGAAATCACCATCCCCATAGCAGCAGAACAGGCTGTGTAGCCATGTAGCCATGCCTTGGCTGCTGTTCACAACAATCTATTGGACTTACCCATCGGTGAAGGAAAGCCTGTGCTAAAAGGCCAGGCTGTGAGCTAGCGCTTAGCCTGAGGCACAGAGCGTGTCAGGACATGCTAACTCTAATGGGGCACAGCAGTGGTAGTGCCTTACACCACTTCAGCCGTTTACTTGGCAAAGGCGATCTGAGCCTTAAGTTGCTGCATGCTAGTGTAGGTCCCTGCACTACACCCGCCTGCTCTCAGCAGGGACCCACTCCTTCAGCTACAGCTGACATGTGGTGCAGCTATACAGATGCTAATGAGAAACCCCAGACCTTTGCTTTACTTGGAAGTGTCAGGAGAGCCGGACACAGTTTGCAGTCCTTCAGCTATTTTGGGGGAGGGAGGGCTACATAAGATGAGGAAGAAAAGCAAGGTCCAGTATACTCCTGCCCAAAGGCTTTTCAAGAACCTCAACTGACACAGGATGAGGGAAAGTCTTGTGGATTAAAGAAAACAAAGGTTGAAAAAACAGAAAACAGAGATAGAAGTAAACAGTGAATTTTTCACAGTGATGAGAGGTCAGAGGTGGATGCTAACTGGCTACACACTTACGAGGCACATGGAGAAGATGAGTAAGGAGCAACCATCAAACAACAGAATATGGGGTCCCAACCAAAGGGGTCTCTGAACACATTTAGTGAATTCTGGAATTTCTTGCAGCTGGTGATATGGTACCACTAAAAGTTTACATGGTTTCAGAACAGGAGTGGAAAAATTCTGGAACAATAAACCAACCAAGGGCTATTAAACAGAACGATCATCACATCTGGCTCAAGAAGCCTCTTGGCCACCAGCAGCTGGCAACAAGGAAAGTATTTCAGGGAAATAGCGACACGTGCTTGTCCTCCTCTTTACTCTTCCTTCCTAGTTACCTGCTGTTGGCTGCTGTCAAAGACTGGCTGCTGGTTTAGGTGGACCTATGTTATGACTCACTTGGCCCTTTCTCGTGCGTTTTGATCAGTTATGTATGTGAAACTTCTATTGGAAAATCAGGCCACAAATCAAAGAGATTGAAAGCCCCTAGCCTAAGTAACTATTAAAACTGCTTTGAAACATCATCCCAACCCTACTTCAATGGCAAAATGGGAAGAACTTAAATAAATTATTTTTTAAAAAAGCCAAAGTGAAAGTATTTGGATGTTTCCAGTATGACAGGGCCTGATGCAGTTTACCCTGGAAGACTTACTGGGGAAGGTGGAGCAGTCTTTCAGAATTCGATGAGGAATGCGGCTGGAGACAGGGAGGGAGGAAGAAAAAGAGGTGAAGGCCAAGGGAATTAGATCAGTCTGTAACATCAATTCATGAAAAAATACTGAAAAATGCAGTCAGTAACCTGTAAATACCCAGCTAATCAGGTAAAAAGTAACAACCAGCACACCTATATCATGGCTACATCAAGCACAACTCACAGCGAGTCAACCTAATGCCTTTCTTTGGCAGAATATCTGGGCTTTATGAAGACTTTAGGCAATACTTTATATGATATTTTTATTAGTAAGTAAGGGAAGGCCTAATAGAGCTGTAATGAATCCAATACGTTTCAATACAGAAGATAATATTATTGGTAACTTAAGTGTCCAAAATAATTTACATCACCACTGGTGCTGTAAAACCCTTAGAAGACAAGTTTAGGCTTGAAAATTATCTTGACCAAGTGGAAAAGTGATCCAGGAGGAAAAAAAAAATGTATATTTGACCTCACTGAATTGCAAAGTTTTACACTGAGGCAGAAACCACCAGTAACATGTACAAGAGAGGAAGCAACAGGCTTGGCAGCACATCTGTAAAAGACGTTTAAGCTGGGTAGGTTATGGTGAATTTTCAAATGAACATAAATTTGTAACAACATGGAAGAGAACAAAAGCCGCCTGGGCAGGCTGGGGTTTGTAGGTCTTGTGAAGAAATCTTTCTGTATAGCATTAAGAAAGCCCCAGATAAGACCTCGTGGCTTCAGTTTTGGGCTCCATGTTTCAAGAAAGATGTGAATTACTTGGAGCAAGCCCAGTGGTGGGCAACGAGACTGACCGGAGGTCTACAACTACAGCTTCTAAGGAAAGCCTGAAAGAATTGTATTTGTTTAGTCTAGAGAAGAGAAGATGGCGGAGAAGGAGGGAAATGGGGAGCGCAATGATAAAATTCTGAAATACATGAGAGGTAGGAGCAAATAAGGCAATAATATGCTCTCTGTGACTGCTGCAGAGAAGATACAGTGGGCTTAAAGCAGGAAGGATTTAGATTGGCTGCTAGGAAAATATTTCTCCCTGCAAGAACAGTAAAGCTGAGGGTTACTGTGGCATCTCCATCACTGGAGAGCTTGAAGCCCAGGTGAGAGTGGGATCCATTGTTGAGGAATGATTTGCCCACGTCCCCATGGTGGACCTATGTAGTTTCTCGAGACCCTGTCTAAATCCATTTTCTGTGGTACATCCCTGTGTGCGAAGGCTGTGATGCCGGGGGGGGGGAGACGGGCCAGGGGGGGACGGGGACGCAC